TTTGTTTTGTTTTGTTTTGTTTTGTTTTGTTTTGTTTTGTTTTGTTTCAAGTAGAGGAGTTCTTAGTTGTCTCTTAGGTCAAACCAGAGAAAGGTTATAGATCCTGACCAAGAGAGATCTTTGCTTAGTAATCCTAGTATGATATAATGCCTATACTTACAGGATCTGTTGGTAGAGACAACATTTTTATTTGTACACCAGGTGAAGAGCAAGCATGTAGTGCCTTTCTCCTGAATGGACAGCATGCTGGAGGGAGCCCTGTCTACTATTATAGTGCTGAGAATCAATAGCAATAGAACCATTTTCTAGGCTCCTGAAAATTCATAGCAGGAACAATTCTTCAAAGTCAGATAAATTCTAGGATCAAGTATCCCCTTTTAAATTTATAGAATAATGGTGATAATATAAATAAATGAGTGAATAATAAAGCATTCATTAAACACTTACTGCATGCCAGGCACTGTGCTAAGACCTGAGGATACAAATAAAACCCAGAAAAGCAGGATAGAAGGGCCTGGGATGCTATGACCCATGGGGTCACAAAGAGTTGGACACAACTGAATGACAACAACCACAACAACAGGCCTCAAGTAGCTTATATAGTAATGCTGTTTCAGGGTTCTGTGGCGGAACACACAATCCATTCATAGCTGGGTAAGGAACATAATCAGAGCATAGGTGGCAAGGTCTGGAAATGGCTGAGAAGGGCGTATCACTCCATAATGACGGCCTGATGAGGAATTAGACTCCACATGGTTATGAGAAAGTTGGGAGATAGGGTCTAGATCAATGGTGTCAAACTCAAATAGAAACAGGAGCCACTAAACCATACATAAAGATCCCTTAAGGCAGCATGTTGACAGAAAGCCGCATGTTAACACTCTCTATGTTTTGTTGTATTTGTATTTATCATGTTAAATGTTTCCCAATTACATTTTTAATCCGGTTTGGGCTTCACTCAAGAATGTTGCTGGCTGCTATGGTCTTGATGATTGTAAAACAGGGGAGATAGGATTCAAAACTGGTTGATTGCCCAGACAGTTGTAACCAATGCATTGGCGTCAGCTTAAAGGTGTATCTCTAGTTCTAGTTCTTAACATTATCTTTGTATCTTAGACCCCTTTGGCCGGTTGGTAAACCTACAGACCCCTTCTCAGAATATGTTTAAATGCATAAAATAAAATGAATCAGATACAAAAGACGTAATTTGTGTTGAAATACAGTTTGTATATATATGTATATATGTATGTATATATACGTGTATATATATATATATAAGCTCATGATCCCCAGTTTAAGCTCATGACTCCCTCTTTTAGAAGCTATGATGTATCCCTTTGCTACCTATGCTCTTGAAGCTGAGCTCATTTTCACCTTGACTTTGTATTTATTTGTGGGATAATGTGTCTTTGAGTCTAGGAGGAGACGGTGATGGTTTGTCCAACCATTTTTACTATACCACCTTAGTAAATACCCATTTCTAAAAGTTAATCGTCTGGCTAATTGATATCAACTGGTAATCAATGAGGGAAGTACACCAGTAGGGACCACCCCACACACCACTTTGGATTATTCCCAGAACCCAGAAGGAGAAATGGAGTAGCTGACCTCTGGGGGTTCAACTTCTCATTATGAAAGGTATACGATAGTAGCCCTAGAGCATATATTTCATATACGCTTAATGTTTACTCATTTGTCCATATGTTTTGTTTGTTTGTTTTTCCTTCATTAGAATGTAAGTTCTTGAGGACAGGGACAATCTCATTTCTGCCTTGTATATTCGCACATAATATACTTGTTGTTCAATCATTTCAGTTGTGTTCAACTCTTCATGACCCCATTTTTGGGTTTTCTTGGCCAAGATACTGGAATTGTTTGTCATTTCCTTCTCCAGCTCATTTTACAGATGAGGAAACTGAGGCAAACAGGGTTAAGCGACTTGCCCGGGGTCACACAACTAGTAAGTATAAGGCCAGATTTCAGCTCCAGAAGATGTGCCCAGGCCTAACACTCCATCCACTGTTCCACCTAGCTGCCCAAATAAAAGTCCCACCAAGATTTGAATTAAGATCACTGGATTCAAGGTCCAGAGGGCTAACCACTACACCATGGCACCTTTGCATAATATACTATCTGGTACATGTTAGGTACTTAATAAAAGTTCATTGATTTGAATTACCCATTTTATCAGGGCAAAGAATAGATACTATGGTATAGTGTGCAGAAGAGTAGAGTCAGTTGTGTGACCATGGGCAAGTCATTTAGTCTAGGAGTTTTCACACCAACAATGGAATCACAAGTTAGGAGTAAAAACAATAGCTACAAAAATATATCAGGCCTCAAGTTCCTAAAGTCCAGTTATTCTGCCAATTCTCATTTATCTTCTTTTAAAAGGACAGTCCTGTGGCTTTTTCAAAGTGTTATATACTGTGTTTGTATTTTTTGTGTTCTTAAGAAATTTATAATTTGTCAAACTAGTTATTCAAAATACAATTTCAAAATGTTTATGTGACTTCCATTCTTGACCTACCCAAGATCATTATATAATATTAGTTCGGACTCTTACAGACAATGTGTCTTACACTTTACCCTTTCCCTTGTATTCTTCTCTGTCGTGACTACCTCCACCACTATTAGCACAATAGCTCCCTTCTTTATCTGTGACTCACCTCCCTGGCCTTTATTTTTCACTCGTGACCTGAAAGCCACTGAGGTCATAGTCAGTAGATGAAATTCTGGTTTAACTGAGTTCTGGAACTTCTATAATGTCTCACTCAGTTACTTGCAAACTGAGTTATAACTTTAGCTAGAAAGCACCTCAGAGATTATCTAGGCCAGGGGTGGGGAACCTGCGGCTTGGAGGCCAATGTGGCCTAGGCCCTTGGCCTCGGTTAACTCCCTGGATTTTTAAATGACAAAAGTGAGACCCAAAGAGGTTAGTCAAATCAAGCCAATAAGCATTTATTAAGTACTTACTTTGTGCTAGGCACTATGC